GAGACATCTTAGGATCTTGACAAATCGCACCCCATGTCAGACTCTCGATGAAATTTGTAACTGTCTTCTCCCAGTCACACATTTCAAACTTTCTTCTTGAAAGCATTTAAAAAAAAAAAAAAAGAAAAAGAAAAGAAAAAACTGGAACAATATAAAAGATCTTCACAGCTGACTTTTAGGAGAAAACATTTGTTCATGAACATCTGGGCCTTTCTCGAGCTATTTTTTTTCTTCTCATTATTGTCAAGAGAAAAGAAGTTTAGTGGAATGTTTCTCCATAGGGGCACAAGGCTATAATACTCCCTGTTGATTACATATAAAAGACACAAAATATTAGTTTATTAAAAGCAGCTTCAACCACTGCCGTACAAAGCAGCCCTCCATTGGAACAGATTTATGAAGTAAGGGCTGAAAGGTATGCAGATCACAAGATCCATGACAAATGTACTTTATTACACGGATCAGAGATTCCATATGCCCTCGCAGTTACTGTACAATGATACACAGCACCTGACTAAGACCACTTAAAGGTTTTGCTGATATTGAAAACTATAAAGACACACCATGAGGGTGAAAAAGTGTTTCATAAGATAGCATGATGCCAAGTCAATCCATTGCTTTGGGAAAAGCAAATATGTATAAGCCAGCTATATTAGAAAGCCATTCTTTAAATTAAAATTTGAAAGTCTTTATCCCATCCATTGTTTAAAGCAGATGTTTATAGCATTTTTCCATACTTTAATTTAGAGCTTAGTTGAATGAGTACCAGGTTTAACATTAACAAAATTAAGGAGATTTCAGATTTTTTTTTTTTTTTCACTAAAAAGATACAGAAGTCTGTAATCATGGAGGGCCGAAAGACTGGAGAGTGCAAAAGAAATCTAAGATATTTACAAGCATAACTTTCTACATAGGGCTTCTGGGCATGAAGGTAACCGCTCTCAATGTGACTGCCCACTGGACTAACCCTGCAGCTCTCTCCCGAGCCAGTGGCTGCCCCTCCACAACTGGCCGTTTCATCCCCTGGCCTGATGGACCCAGTCTGTCTCTGCAGTTTCTCATTCTAGACATTCATTCTCTCCTGAGGTCAGCATCTGTGCTTGAACTCACACTTGTGTGACTTTGAACATTTCCTCTTCATTCCTGCTCATTTGAAACGAGGGGCAAAAGTCTTAGTGCCTCAGCGTTGTTTTACTGATTCCATAATCAACGTGACCTATTTTGCAGACTAAGTTAAACATTCTTTAAATGTTTTTTTTTTTTTTTTTTTTTTTTTTTTTTTTACTGTGACTCTATCAACTGAGCCTTATTTGATATCACACTGTATTTTAATTTCCCCCTGCTTTAAAGTAAGCAGAAAAATAAACTTTTGGCAATCAACTATGTACAGAATGTGTGTGTGTGTGTGTGTGTGAGTATATGTGGTGTGTACACACAGGGGCATGTGTCTGTGGGCATGAGCAGAGTTCAGTGGAGGACATTGGGTGTTCTGTCATTGAACACAGAGCTAGGTGGCAGCCAGCAACCTATTTCTGGATCTACCGGACCTACCTCCCACACCACTGGGATTATCAGCACATGAGACCAGGCCTGGCTTTTTATATAGGCACTACAGATCTGAATTCGGGTCTTCGTGCTCCACAGTAAGCATTCCTACCTGCTAGCCCCATCCCAGTAATGTAAATTTTATGGTTCCTTTTATAAATAGACCCAAACCTGACCCTGACCTCTGTGAGCCTGAAAGGATCCAGGGGATGCAGAGTGGCTTTTGATGTAGCGTAAATACTTGAAAGTCCCCTCTTCTCCTCCAACATATTTCTCTATCAAAGCAGTATGTGCCTGCTGCAATGAAGATTTTTATATGCTGGAAACTACAGGAAAAAATGTGTGTGCCTAGCACAAGTTTGAATTACTTTGCTAACTGTCCTTCCCTAGCAAGATTAGTCAACAGCTCAGTATCTGCAATACAGCTGTAGGATGTCTCCATTGGCCATTCCTTGGGGTCTTTAGGGCCCTTTTCTGTTTTAATCTGTGCCTCGTGTTTCATTACTCTGAACCACATAACATCTTTTTTCACTTTCTCCTCCAGGACATTTCAAGTAGTTGAATCAAATCATTTATAGATAATTCTCTTCTCTGACTCCTAAAATTCATACCCCAGATACATGGATATAAATTCTGAAAGCATTCAGCTCCTTTACAGTCAATATATATGTATGTATGTGGATATTATATATATACTTTAAGCAACTTTAAGCGACATGTGTGCTAGTGGGGACAAATGTGTAACTGCATTAATGTGACAGCAATCAAACACAATGTGGTCAAAGCCAACTTCCCAGGCATGGTGGTCTATGCCTAAAATTCCAGGACTTAGGAGGCTGAGGCATCACTGCATTACTATATTACTGCAAGTTTGAGACGAGCTTGATCTAAGAATGCAGGACTAGCCAGGGCTACATAACAAGACCCTGTCTCAAAAACAAACCAAGAAACAAAATTCCTACTGGGTTCTACCTGAGTGCTTCAGCTGTCAGTCACATAGCTGTCTGGTCACCAATAACCTTGGCCTACACCCGTGGTTGGACCAGTTGGCACATTTCTAATGAAGTGTTACTTAAAGAAATACAGTCTGGTTTCTACCCCAGAGGTTTGAGAAAGGTTCTATAAATCATTCCATTACTGAAGTGTGTTCTTTATCTGACCCTACTTCAACCCAATCCCATCACAGATTAAACCAAGTAGTCTACTCTAAGATCACCTTTTTTTTTTTTTTTTTTTTCTCTGAGAAATTTGGTGGGTTCTTGAAAGGCAGAATCACTAGAAGAATGCATGCTTTAGAACAGCTGTCCTGGTTTGAGCTATGTGACTCATGTGCCTCAGTGTCCTCAAGTATAGATAACATTTACAGCGTAATCATAGGCTTCTGGATCAAGTAGATGAATTGATAATTTTAAATTTATATTTTCATTAGCCCATGTGTATTTAATCTCTTTAAGGGAAAAAAAGTAGTTCCACTCTGTTTCTAATGTGTCCTCGTATTAAGTCCAAGTGATTTTCCTGCTTGGCTTGAGCGCCCCCTGGTGGTTTAACAGCAATTCTTTGGAAAGCATTAAAAACAACCTTGGAGAAATTATTTACACAAAAGATTAAAGGACTACAATGTATTAGCATTTGAAAGCAAATCGACAAAGAGCTTATCACACCCTTGAACTGGTTTCAGAATTCCATTCTAGATTTCCTGCGCAGGAAATCTACTCAGGGTACTGGTCAACCCGGGTGGAGGGGAGGAGCTTGTATGTGGAGGTCAGAGGTCGCATTTTCCCCAGCTCTTTCACATCACTTCTATTAAAGAGAGGTCTCTCACTGAACTTGAGCTCATTCATTTGCATAGACTAGCTGGTCAGCAGGTCCCGTTCCTTCTGTTCAGTAATGACCTTGCCCAGTACCGTGGACCCCTCCAGTCTCCCTAGTATGGGGGTGGGGTGGGGTACATGCACATGGACGTGGCTATTATGTGGATGCTGGGTAGCCAAGCTTGGGTCCTCAGGCTTGCATGGTATTTACCAATGGAGCTATCTCCCACTCTCTAACCTTTAAAACGGGAGTGACCAAATGTCACAAGAAACTTTAAGTGGACACCATGAAGAGGCAGGCCCTTGGGTCTGAGCGCAAAGAAAGCTTCTACTATTGGCATCAAGTTGAGGCTGTGAGTTACAGGAAACATGTGTATAGATCCCTGGAAGCAACCTCTTCAACTTCAGCAACCGGCAATGTTGCTAAACCAAATGAAAACCAAGGGCATAGTATTAACAGAAGACAATGGCCATGATAAAAGAGGGTAAATAACTATAACGTCGGCAGCATTTTACCGCACGCACACCTCTTTCCCCTCAGTTACTGGCAACCACGACAAAAGGATCAGAGAGCTGGGTTGAGCTGAGCGCAGTGGCCTGTGATCCCAGCAATCAGGGAGACAGGGGCAGGCTGTTCTACCAAGGAACCTTGAATATTACCTGCTTCCAAGTCCTTTTCTTCTCACCTTCAAACCCACTCACTGCCTTGTACACACTGGAGATTAGCATTCTACTACTGAGCTACATGCCCAGGCTTTTCTTGCTGCCTTCAGAAAGATGTATTTCATTTTTAAATTATTCACTAACTTTCCAATACGCCATTGAGTAAATTGAGGAGAGACTATTATACTAACTTTAAACTTCTGGCATTATTTTATAGTTACTTCAATCACACTTGGTCACACCCATGCTTGGCAGTGTACTTGGCACTTTATGGTCTCAGGGCCAAATAACCTTACTCTTTGTTTTCCGGTTGTTGTTGTTGTTTTTTCCTGTGAAGTTAATTTTATCAGACTAGATGTACAGTTCTCAGCATTGCTAATATTTCCAAAGTCCCTGGTTTTACTTAGCACATAAGGTGGTATGACTAGAATAAAATTTCAGATGGAATGCTAAATTTAAGTGTAAATAATTGAAATTAACAAAGTATACATAGACAGACTCAATGGAAACTCATCTCATTGGTATGTAGAGTCAGTGTAGAGTAGTTGTGCCAATTCCACATCTCTTCATAAAACAATACTGTTAGCTAATACCCATCAATGTTCACATGGGGCATTTCCCAAATGGATATACACATATATGTTCCAACTAAACATCCAAAGAAACTGATTCTGAATAACTTACTCTGGGAAATGCTATACTTTATTATTTCAAGCTATACAGTATTAAAAAGCACACGAATCTTGCCAGGCACATGGTGGAGCATGCCTATAATCCCAGTACTCAGGGAAGCAGAGGCAGGCGGATCTCTGTGAGTTTGATGACAGCTTGGTCAAAAAAGGGAGTCCAGGACAGCCAGGGCTATAAAGGAAACCCTATCTCAAAAAACAAAAACAAAACAAAAAGCATACTAGTCAACCTAAGACTTCTCAGTATCTGGAAATCTTAAAGATACATAGAAGAAAATATCAAACTCCAAGATCTGCCCACTGAATATTTTATTGTGAATTATAAAAAATTCAAATATTTACTACTGTAAGGTCCACTATGCCCTTTTATTAAGGACTTCTTTTTTAGTTATTAGTGTCAGGGGGAGCTTGTGCACATGAATACAGGTGCCAGTGAAGGCCAGGAGAGGGTGCATTCCTGGGATCTGGTTTTGAGCCAACAAGAAACAGAAGGTAAGTTCTCAGTAAGAGCAGTATGTGACCTTAACTGCTGAGCCATTTCTTCAGCTCCTTGATACCCTATTTTTAAATATGACAATATAATAGCTTTCTGTCCAAATTCTATCTGCATAAGCATGTTTAATTCGAGGCACTGAGTATAACTGACACTGAAAGAGCAAATAATGACAGCTACATTAATGCTCACAAGATTGAGATGTTTGATAGTACTCAAATATCAGGTAGTATCCAATTACAACTTCAACATAACTTTCATTCATTACAAAATACATTTTTATTAAGCTCCCAACACAAATGAGTTATTTTGGTTTTGAATTAAACAATTAAGTCCGAACTAAAATATGAAAACAAATAGCTTTTATGTAGTGAGAGTGGAAATCTGTGAAGACATTTCGAACAAATGAACATTCTGTCCCATGTAATACTCCTCAGTTTTTAAGGGTCTACCAGGCCAGGCCCTTCGCTGCCTTGGCTCTGCTTTTCCCCCGCTTCTTTTCTCTCTTTGCCTTCAGCCTTTTTCTCTGCCTCTGGTTCATCCACACTGGGTACTGGCCATGCTGGTCTAGAAGAGTCTTTTTGTTTCTCTTAATTTCAATCTCCATTTTTGTGTCATCTAAATTAAAAACAATAATAAAATGAAAAGCTATGAATACTCACACATGAAAAACAACCTTGTGAAAGCACACAAATGAAGCTGGAACATGAGAACTACAGGTAGTCTGAAATTAAAACAAGGAAACGTTTTTAAAAAAAGATTTATTTATTATTTATACAACATTATGCCTGCACACTAGATCTCACTATAGATGGTTGTGAGCCACCATGTGGTTGCTGGGAATTGAACTCAGGACCTCTTGGAAGAACAGTAAGTGTTCTTAACCTCCGAGCCATCTCTCCAGCTTCCGAACACCATTTTTTTATAGCATCCCCTGACTCCTTAAAGCAAAGTGAAGCCTAATCAACACACTGTTAGTTTCTGGGGCATTCAGGCTTCTTTATAATTGCTGAAGATCCATTCTAAATAACCCACACATGCTTATTCACAAACACTGACTTTAAAACAGTTTAGAACAGGATCTCTAATAGAAATATAAGCTTTCAAAGAATAAAGATGTAAACGTAACAGGTTATGATAGGTAGATAAAGTGAGGACATAACTGCTCCAAGGTATGGATGAAGAGAAAGTTTTTACTATAGTTATGAGGGAGAGTTTAGCCAGACATCTGGAAGAGTCCAGAGCAGGGGGAGAAAGTAGCAGACTAGACTAAACATGGCCAATGGACTGAACCAGGCCATGAAAGAAAGGGGAGAGAGGGAGACTTTGAGAGAAGAGCAAAAGAGAGCCAACAGCCAAGAGAACCAAGAGAGAGAAAACAGCCAAAATGTGTTATATAGGAATGAGAAACGGAAGCCCATAAAGTGGAGAAGAGCTAAGAGGATTCAGGATGATAGTATGCACTTTAGTGTCTAACAGGCACCACAGCCATCTGTCCTCAGTTTCTTTTGGACCTGATATTAGGGACAAGTAGAGATGGATAGAAAACACGTTAAATTTTTAAAATTATGCAAATAAAGCACATACGCTCACCTTTTTCTTCATCTGCCTTTTCTTCACACTGCATTTTCTCCTGGCAATGTTTGGGTACAACCACAGTTGCTATTTCTTCAACATCTTTCATTAAGGCATCACTGTCAACTTTGAGAATACTTTTAAGTCTGTTGAGCTCCCTTGGGGCATTCTTTTTTCTCTTTTCAGCACGCATCTTCCTTTTCCACTTACTCCGTAAGCTTTTGGCCATGCTTTACCTGGCAGTTAACAAAAACACAAAGAGAAGAAAGTTTACTATTTACACTCTTGAATATCAAGGAAGTGGCTGGGCGGCTATCTCTTTAGAACTGGAACAAATGGAAAATAATCTACGATGCCTTTATGCTTAGCTTATGTGAGAATCAACGAAGAGCATACAATGATTAAGTACAAGAATCTCGGGCCTCTTTATGTCTGTGAGAAATTATAAATCAAGCCATTCTCAAAGCTTAGTACATACAGAAAGCTAACAGAACTGCCTAGTCACCCGACCTCCTGCTTTTGTCCCATCTCACAGTCCTAAGTCCTTGCCAAAGAGTTTAGTTTAATCTTTTCGAAGCTTAGGGCACTGGTCTCTCTGCCTTTTAAAGAATTCTTTACTGACTTCTCCCCTCGGGTATTCTGGCATCAACGTTCATCCTACTACTCCCTGGCCCCCTCCAACTCTCATCTCACTCTCCTGGGCCCCACACAAGCTCCAGCTACGCCTGCATAAAGCTCACACAACGCCACGTTAGTATCTTCACTTTCACTGTACCTGTCTGAAAATTGCTCCCCTCAGGGCTTGCTCTTTTCCTCAGACTCCTGTGTCCGCTCCTCTGTTTCAACCCAAAGCTAACGTCACCCTGAACGCCAGCAACCACCAGTTGTCTAAAGCGACCCAAACACTGCGTGGAGGGTTACCGTGACCCACTCGGCGGGTCCAAGTCGGCCCGAGCTCCACTAGCTACAGCACCTGGGGAGCCTGGCGCCGCCACGAGCAAACAGGGCCTCGCCCTCCCGTGCTCCGCACAACCAGGCCGCGGCCAGGGTTCGCCACGGAGCAAGGTTCCGAAGCCAGACCCCCACGCTGCAGAAGTGAGCCCAAAGCCCACGGAACTCACCTGAGAAACGAGCACACACCTCGCGCAGGACGCCAACCGGAAGCCCAGTACTTCCGGCTTCCGGCCACGCCAGGCGCACGGCATGCCGGGAATCCTGAAAGGCTTGGTCTTCCCAAGTGGGCCTGGGAGTTGATCTCTGTGAGCCTGAGGGTTTGCTGGTACCTTACGGAAGACGGTGTGTTTGGAAAAACAGAGAGCAGAAAGGATTTCCGGTCGGGAGTGACAAATTCTAAATCAAGCCATTCTCAAAGCCTCAGATAGGTCAAGCCCGGCCGGGGTCCCTGCCTGAGACAAGCCTTACCGATACAGAATACCCGATTGCTCAGCTCCGATCATCCTAGAGCAGTTGCTGCAGGTTTTTGTTTTTGTTTTTTTTTTTTACAGCCTAGAAATTTTTCCTTTTCCGCTGAGGATCCCAGGATGTACGTGGATGTGAGAATATATCAAATTGTACGATTTAAATATGTCAAATCTACTGCATGCCAATTATAGTTCAAAGCTGTTGCCCAAAGCAGAAAATAATCTTTACTGTCCTGAAGAGCAATATTGATTTGTCCAAACCGTTACATATCTGAGACAAAGCTGAGACTAGGGTGACTGAGGCTACAAAAGTGTTTGGTTTTGCATGTGCTTCTAATCGCACAGGTTATGGGGATACACGGGTCTCTTTAACATTTGTGAAAGATATGGGCGAATGGTGTCTTAGGGCCTAGTACCTCATTGATCCTCAGTAGGTGATTAATTTTTGTTTATTGAGTGTTTTGTCTGTAATGAGTATGTTTATGTACCACATGTGTGCCTGGAGCCAGAGGAGGCCAGAAGAGGACATCTCGCCCCTTAGAACTGAAATTACAGTTGGTTGTGAGCCCCCGTGTGAGTGCTGGGAACTAAACTCAGGCCTGCTGCAGGAGCAGCAGGTGCTCTTAACCCCTGAGCCACGCCTCCAGCTCCCATGAGTTATCTTTAATATTGGCTTAAGGAATTCCTGTTTGGTTGCTAGGAGAGTTGTCTCCTTGAAGAAAACATGCATAGTACAGCGAGTTTTGAGATTTTTACCAGAGACAAACCACACGACATTAAAAACAATAGGAAGAAAGTGCATACTGGGTACTAAAAGGCCTCCTTACAGATACTCTAAAGTGACAGCTTCCTGTGCCATGTACCAAAAGGCTGTGACTTTGAAACAGAAACTTGGAAAAAGAAACCAACCTATTACATTATTAAGATACATTCCAAAATTCAGCATAACAAAGCTCTTTTGAAAGCTGAATTGGGGACTAAATAATTGAAAGCAAGTACTCCTAGGGGATCAGATGTCATGCTTTTGTTGCTGTTTTGTTTTCTAATATCTTTAAATCCCCTCCTTCATTCAAACATTCAAGCATGAACTCTAGCAAGGGCACTTTCAGAAAGGTGGAAGAATGGGGCTCAAGAGAGGCCAGAAGCAAAAGGATTTGACTTTCATCCCTAGAACTCACTTTTTTTTTTTTTTTTTAAGCTCACCACCAGACAGACAGGCTCTAGGATCGCTTGGCCTCCACAGCAAGCCTATTAGCCAAATCCCAGGCCATTGAGTGACCCTGTCTAAAGAAAGGTGGTGAAACCTGATGAATGACACCTACGTGCGCATGTGCACATGCACACTGTCCTACCCCCATACACACAGACACAGACACAGACACACACACAGACACACACACAGACACACACACACACCCCTGTATACAGGCATGCACTCACATCTACAGAAAACCAAAATAGCTGGAGGGAGCTCCTGGAACACATGCAGTTAGTAATGCTCAGTACTTGACAAGAATCAATTGATTTCTCATCTGAAAGACCCAAGACACAACCGGTACTTGGCTGAGTGGGGCTCCCACAGCCGGGCCTTTCCATGCGTTCCCGAGTCCCAGCAAACAGCAAAAATTCTGCAGTTCGATGGTGCTGGTGACTTCTGGCTCCCTCGATGGTTGAGACACTAGGACTATACACTACAGAGATGGAAGGCAAAGGCCTGCTGACACCAGTCCAGAGAAACTTAGGTCAAATGGACCAAAACCAGGTCTGAGTTCCACAGAAAACTGAGGGCACATAACGTGGCCCACTGCACCTCTTTCTAAAATTTTTATTTTAAATTTTATTTTACTTATTATAATTTATTCACTTTGCATCCCTGCCACAGCCCACTCCTCTCTTCCCAGTCCAATTCACCCTCCCTGCTCTTTCCCTATGCCTCTCCCCTAGTCCACTGATATGAGGACCTTCTCCCCTTCTATCTGACCCTAGCTTATCAGGTCTCATCAAGGCTGGCTCGTCTTCCCCTGTGACCTGGCAAGGCTGCACTTCCTAGGGGAAAGGGATCGAAGGCCAGGCACTTCCACTGCACCTCTTTGACCAAAAGCAATCCAAAGCTCTCCGGCCTTTCTGTTTTCCTCCTTTCCTCCTACTTCTGGCCTCTGCATCATAAACTGACGATTTCTCTAAGTCCTACTAGTTCTGCTTTCTTGGCTATTAACTGAGCACGTGTTCACCTCTACGTGATATTAAAAAGTTAAGTTGTACATGTTCCTTTATTTACTGATTCTTTTGTGGGTCTATTTCCTGCCTGGCAAGCTCTCCTTGCTTGGCACAGAAGGACACACAGAGTGATGTGAATACTAGTGCAATGCTAATATATATATATATATATATATGTATGTCTAACTATATAAAATTTTTTGCCACTACCTATAAACACCATTCGTCAAATTTAGTTTACACCAGCGATTTTTCCATTTCTAAACTAGGCATTTTAAGAGGTGACCAATGGGCTGAAGAAATGGCTCAATGACTATAAAGAGTACTTGCTACTCTTTTAAAGAACTCCAGCACAGTTTTTACATTAGAAATGCTGGTAACTCCAGCTCCAGGTAATACAATTCCCCCTCTGGCCTCTGCAGACATAAAGTATGATACACATACATGCATTCAAAACATTTACAAAAAATAAAAACTAAATCCATTCATTATATTATTGTGAATTACAGATGAACATCTCATTATGTGTAATTTAGGAATGAAAAATGAATAAATAAGCCAGGAGGTGCTACATGCCTGTATTCCAAGAACAGAGAAAGTTGACATAGTAAGATCATGAGTTAGAAGTCATGTTGGACTACATAGTGAGACCCTGCTGCAATTTACAAAAAAAAAAAAAAAAAATCTCCTGCCTGAGATTTTAAGTCAAGGATTTGGAAATGAGATAACACAAAAAATAATAATACTCTAAAGTATAGAAGAATACAGAATACCAACAAAGTTCATAAATGCTTTTAATATCTAAGGATAATTCAAACTTTTTACATAATAAAATTCTCTGGACACTGTTCAATTACTTTTTATTAACTGCTTCCAGAAACCTTAATAGGTGCAGGAACAGATTGACAATATCCAGGTAGAGACTGATGGCAGCTAACACATACTCTTCTGGCGAGAGTTTGTGCATCAGAGAGTGTGTATCATAGATGATGAAGCCGCAGAAAAGAAGGGCGCCTAGAGACGCCAAGACCAGGTCCACTGTTTCGCTATAAAAAAACACCTACAAGCAAGGGATTAAAGAAGTAAGTTCATATCCAGGACTCACTTTAGACCTATTTCAATTACTTTTAATAACGATCGACTGCTGGCGGCATTTGTGACAGTGGCACCCAACCCTGATGCGTGAATGCACAAAGGCAGAAGGAAGGTGGATCTAAGCTCATGTTTGACAGAAGTATGAATGTTTGGTAAGCAGTTATCTGTCAATTAAGTTAGCTACTTACTTTGAATGGTGGCATTTTAAACATGAACTGCTTTAAAGTGTTATTTTCAAGAAGTAAACATTTCATGGCATTTACGTATTTAATGGAGCCGAGGACTACGCACACCACAGCAAGCACAGGTGACTGAGGTAGTCAGAGGACAACTTGCCAAGGCCGGTTCCTCTTTACAGTGTATGGCTCTCAGGGACTGAATTCAGGCCCTCGGGCTTAGAGGCAAGGACCTTTATTCTCAGCAGCCCTGTGTTTTTCAGAATTACATGTGGCAGTCAGAGGTGGACAACGACGAGTAAGGCTTTTTTGTGTGCAATTTCACTTCTTTGTGCATTCATTTTCTCAGTCAGTAATACTGACTAACATAAGCCATGATTTTCACTGAAGTATAATTCTATATATAAATGTTCTAGATAATTACAACTAAGTGTCTTCTACAAATAATTCTCAAGGAATTTTCGTTGACTTATGTTGACACAGGCAGAATTATATTCAAGTCAACTGTTCTAAAACAACTCACCTTCAAGAATCCTGCCAAGCAGAAAATCCACAAAACAGCAAACAACCTGGAAAAAAACAAAAGTTTAACAGTTTATAATAGTGTTCCTGACTACAGCACTTTTTATGTATGTATGTATGTATGTATGTATGTATGTATGTATGTATGTATTTATACTACAGCACTTTTTTAAAGGTTTTAAAAAAATTTTTATGTGTAAGAGTGTTTTGTGTGCATGTATGTGTACCATGTGCCTGCCTGATCCTTGATGAGGTTAGAAGAGGGTATCTGGTCTTCTAGCACTGGAATTATGATTGTGAGGCACCATGTCAGAGCTGGGAACAGAAACCAGGTCCTCTGCAAGAGTAGCAAGTGTTCTTACCAGTGAGCCATCTTTCCAGCCCCCAAAGCACTTTTTAAGCCCACTCATTTTATGAAGAGATAACTCAATTTTTGCCAAAAATAACTAAAATGTAAAAATTCATAAATATTTTATTAGAGCAACAGAAATGAAACTAGAACAATGGTCTTGGTGACATTTATGCTGAAAGGGGACAACAAAGGCTGAAAGGTCAATAAATCCTACACTGATCCAAATGCTCACAAGCCTCACCTCTCTGAAAAGCTAATCCTTTGGGGAAATGGAGGACAGCACAAGATTCACTTTCACTTTATGAAAGAAGAAAATGCTAACAGTCACACTCCATCTCTTGTCAATTCGCCAGGAGGGTAGAGCCTGGTCCCCCTCAGAGTGACCTCTTATGAACCTCCATGTTAAACACATAGACACCAGAATGACAGCGTTTCATATATATCCCAAGACTTACTACTTACCCTGCTCCAAATTTGCTGAAATCTCTCTTTGACTGTAGAGTATAGGCTGTCAAGCCAAGAAAGACTGCAGTCGTCAGAGTAAAAGCTTTCAGCACCGTGTACACATCGTAGAAAGTAACTGCAAAAATAAGACCGATTAAAGCATGCATAAACAGCCAGTACAGTCTGCTTAGATTAAAGGAAAACATTTTCTTATAGTTTAGCTTTTTGAGATGTTTTTATTGCATGTATTAATTATACATACATAATTGGTTTCACTGTACATTTTCATACACGTTCAAATTGTATTAAATCATATTCACTCCACTACTCTAGTCTCCCGCCTACTCTCACTTTCTTCTACTCACCAATAAAAACAACACCCAGCCTTGAGTATATTTGTAAGTGAAACCACAGTCATAATAATATTAAAAAGTTCCAAACAGTTATTTGTACAAGTGTTTCATATTATCACATAGTTAACCAAACTGTAATGATAGTTAGTAGATAACCAGGAATGGCTCCATTTGCTGTTTGTCAGTGTCTTTGTAGCTGTCCCTGTGCTTAAGATTGAAGGTGTTCTGGCTATGAATCCCTGAACAATAGCAGCAATGTTATCAATCACCTAGACAGATGAATTGGTTGAGCACCCCAAGCCAAGGCAATTGAACAAGAAAAACACAAAGGATGTCTGAGATGGCCTGCCATTTACCCACCCTACAAAGGACAGAAACCGATCACTGCCTGCTTTATGGCTGAGTCCATGTTGGAGCACATTATTGTGGAGTTTACCAAATTCCTGTTGCAACAGAGTAACAATCCTGACCAGTGACAGCTGCTGTTGTATAACTGTTACCGTCTTAACAGAATGTTAGATTAGGCTTTCAAGGGGTAATCCCCTTGTAATGTATGTATATGCTTTGAACCCCAATCACTTATATAACTAAAAGTTTTGTCCAAAATTGATCGTACTTGTTATTTCTGTTAATAAATAATTAAAATGTCTGCTTCTGGCATACAGGATTAGGGAGATGATAACAGAAAAATATAGTCAAATTTGCTTCTTGTCAATAATTTTGCCATTCTGATCACATAGACTAGAATATTGCAATCCATAAAGAAAATAGTCTCAGATGACTTAATTTATATATTTTTACTCTAGTTCTAGTAATCACATTCCCTTTTAAACTCCTTATAGCAATGGTATGGTGGCACTGGTCTATTTCTAGGGACAGATGGTCATGACAATAGACAAATAAGCTAATGACACTTCCTGCCCATGCTGAAAAGCTTCCGTTCCAGTTTACTACTTCTTGGTATTTATCTGTATCCCGATTCTTCTAAAGAGTGGCAGATGGTCACAAAATACATATTCCACAAAACTGAAAGATGGGTAAAGCCGCAATGACAAAATAGGAAGAGATAATGTGTTTCTCCAAAGGATGGACACCTACTAGAATGCAAACGGTTAAAGCAGATCATTGTGACACCCACAGTAAACCACCTGTGGATACTCCAAATTTTCATTGTAATTCACTGAATTTTTTATTTGAGACATTATCAGGTGGTATAAAGTAACTGTAACGGAAACTTGGCCAGGAAACACACATATGAAATTCAGAAATGGAAATGACCGTGTGTCCTGTGGTACCCTTTGGGGAAACGTGAAGGTGGAGCAGTCACAACCCAGTGGGGGCAGTTCTTGATGCTCGCGTGACAGAAGAGCCCTTGGAAGTTGAGGACACCAACTACAGTATCTCATTTTTATCAACAGGAAATCATAAATAAAAACCTACTCTCCGTTCCGTTTCCCTTGAACTTTTCCATTTCCTCTCAGCTCAGCTGAACTGTGTAAAGTGTAAATATTTAACTTTTGCTTATCAGCAGTCTTCACTTTATGTCATGTTTTTAATATAACATCCCATGTTAAACTTTAACCCCGGATGCATTGTTACCTAAAATATTTTTACCCACAGTAAAATGGTAACACGTAAAGGGTCTTACCAACAACTGCCACGGTCAAAGCTTCAGACAAGGTCTAAGAAAAGAAACCTTAATTAACTAGTGCGTGAGAAATGGACACTATGCCATGCACACACTCTCCTTTCTAGCAGTCCAGTATGGTCCCATGTGAATAGTCTCGTGTTAGTTTCAAAGGAGCCTGTCCAGAGGGCAGGACAGTTATCCCATGTAATGAAAATGAGGTCTCAATGCATTGTGAATATTTACATTCTCATTGTGGCTCTTTAAGCTTTATTCAAATGTTCATCTGTAATAGAAAGGTTACATAGAAGAATTAAAATAGAAAATTGTATTTCCTGTTGTTATGTGTAGATATGTGGCCTGCCAAAAACTCTCACCCTGCATTAAAGTACCTGAAGGAGACAGGAGACTGTAAACAGTGATACAGATGAGGAGAACACAAGGTTATTTAGTAGAGTTAAGATACATAGAAAATTATATTTTTTTCATGCTGGATAATATAAATAAAATGATACTGCAAATTAAATTGTCTTTAAAAAACCTAAATACCTCACACAAAGAAACATAAGAAGTATAAAAATATTTTGTTATATACTTTAATGAGGCAGCTTAAAACAGCCTCGCAATAAAAATCTCTAGTTTTTCCCCAGCAACAACAGACTTTGTATCTGGACATCCGGCTGTTCAGCGAAAGCAATACATCTGTAGCCTCCCTTGTGGCTGTCTCAACACATAACTGTATTCTAAGCCAAACAGCTGAGTGGGCACAGCCACAGGACTGCACTTTAAGAACATAATGACTTGCCCTCCACCCCACTTTATCCACCTTATTTCAATGGGATGCTATTTGGGCAGAACAATGTGCCGCCATCTTATACTATGCAAAACCTGAGGAGTGCCTGAACCACAGCAGGTGGCTGAGCTCTGGAGAGCTCTTCTAGGCATTATATTGTATTGTTTAAGTCATCTCACAAGTAGCTGGATCCTGACCAAAACAAAAGATTTGGAGCTATTAAGGCTTACATTCTAGTCTCTCTTTCTCCTTGATTATATCACCTACTTTGTCTTATATGCTTACTCTAGTAGATTTATCAACCATCTGATACACCACACCACAAAGGCAAAGCCAAACGTAACAGCAATGGCTGCATAACGATATTGGTAAGGAAGCAGTCGTACTCTACCCTACCTAGAACCAACAGTCCTCAGAAGCAGAGCGAAAACAGTACTGGAAATGCACAGAGATGTGGAGGCAGTGAGACCAGGGAACCGTGTCTTAATGTTGGTAGTTCCAGGGAAGCAACAGCAATGGGTCATAGAAATGGATTACACTGCTGATGTGTGTGTCCTGACAAGAACCCTCACCCTGCATTACTGGACCTGAAGGAGACAGGACACTGTACGTGGTGCCATAGATGAGAAGAACGCAATGTCACACTGACACCATTGCATCACTCCGAAATAGGACACACACGTGCACTCGCACCCTGACAGAGCTGGCTAAATTCCCTTCCTTTCTTACGCTGCTGCAGAACAAAAGAAAAACCAACAATGAAAAAACAGTGCCCAGAAGTTCCCCGAGCAATGAGAGGAAGGAAATGAGTTTATGAACTTCCTTATTTGCGAAGCCACTTTAGCTACACATGATGAATAGATCACATGACAATAAGTGGCATCTTGCTCATGAAACCTTTGGCTGATGTTTTTCTAGGGTGAGCTCTCTTTGCTGGGCAAATGGGTGTCTATCCTGTGCTACAAAGAAATTAGTCATTCTGGAAGGAATTTACAATAGATTTGAAGGTCTTTTTTTTTTAAAGATTTATTTTTATCTTATGTGTGGTTGCCTATATGTATCCTATGTGCAATTATGTTTGTGTGTGTTCCATGTACACGTGAGACCAGAAGAGGATGTCAGATCCCCTAGAACTGAACTAGAATTTAAAATGTTAGCCACCAAGTGGGTGTTTGGGGCTGGGCCCTGACCCTGGCTGGATCTCTTAACCACTGAGCCATCATTCCAGAGTTGTTTGTTTTAAAATGAATTATTATATTATTAGATGTGTACATGATAGGTGAATGTGAAGGGTGTTCATGGCATGGCATGCCGGCGGAGGCCAGAGGGTAGCTTTGTGGGGCTGGGTCACTCCTTTTACATAGGTTCTAGGCCATGTAACTCAGGCCATCAGACTTGTACAGTAAACATCTTTACTGAGTCATCTTGCTGGCCCATGGCCTCAGGTTTTGTTTGCCTTCTCCCTGTCTCCTGTTGCAGAGGAGGCAACAGAAACTGGAATCTGACCTAAGGACTGGACACTACACATTGGTTAATCTCACTGCATCAGTCAGGTGCTTTCTATCAGGATCTGAAGAGATTGAAGCAATAGCAGTGGGAGGTACAGCAAATGAAAAATGCACTATGTAGGCCAATGGCAAGCCATCAAAGTAACGGGAACAGTGGGCAAGGACAGAAGAGGGGGCAATGAGAACACAGCCCACCACTCAGCTCTCTCATAGCGACACCTTGAGAGCCTACCTCCAGTTCTTAAGAACTGGGAGTTGGGAGCTGCTGCGTTTCCAAGCTCTTACACCCTGAAAATAAATTCCCTGTTTGGGACAGCATGGGTTGGGGCTAATATGCTTACACAGATTAAGATTTAAATGAACAAACTCTCCAATAGTTTTCAAAGTCATGAGTATCATTTAACATGAACTCATTTTCAGAATGAGTTCCTCATCTGAAGCGCTTTACTCACATCAGTGGCACATTATTGGACAACACATACTATGTTTGGAATGTCTTGAAGAAAAACTGTCAGGCCAGAATCCAAAGTCACAAGAAGAGACAAAATAATGTAAAAATACCCAGAGCTTTACCAACTTTACTCAAATTAAGATCGAGTTTTTATAGGTGTCAACTGGGATTTTAATTTTTACAACTGTCTCCAAAAATAAATACAACTTAATGTTAGATTCTCCTACCTATAAATTTATAACAAGTTTAAAAAAAAGGTCTATCATTTGAGCAAAATGGCCCTTTAAGAGAACTGAATGAAGACATGAAAATAACACAGAAGAATTAATCATGAGCTCATATCCTCTAAGTTAAAGCCACAAAAATGCCCCAGATTCCAGAAAATTAGAGGCAGAAAGGGTTACATAGATGACATACCTTACAATTTTCATTTTATGTGTGAGAAAAATTAGGTATAAAAAGGCTAACTGCCTTGCCAAATGTCACATAAGCAGAGGGCTGAGAAGCCAGGTCATCAGATTCCAATCTGGTGTGTTTGCCACTAAATCCTAGTTAGAAGAACGAAAGCAGACAGTAGCTACACGTTCTAAAAAAGTATGTATGTATAAGTAATTCCCTAATATATTCTAATTAAACATTCAGGCTGCTGCATAGATGGCTCAGTGGTAAATTGCCTGCTGTATAAGGGTGAGGATCAGAGTTCTGATCCCTGGCACCCAGTGAAAGGGCCTGGTGCGGTAGCACATTTGTAGCCTGGGTGCTGGAGGCTAAGGGAGGTGGATTCCTGTAGCTCAGTCTGGCTGAAATGTCACATTCAAATTCAGTGAGACCCTGTCTCACCAAAAAAGGTGGAGAATAAAAGAGGAGGACACCCACTACCAATCTCCGACCCCCGCTACACTCATGCACAGCCACTGCCAATCTCCGACCCCCCCCACATTCATGCACAGCCACTGCCAACCTCTGACCCCCACACAAGCTCATACACACCCAAACACATGTGCACGCAACTCAATTTTCTTCTCCCATTGTTACCAATAAACACACGTACAATTAAGCAAGCATTGTTGAAACTCAGGCTAACTAGTGGCATAAACAATATCAAAGTACTCACGAAAGCGAAAAGCAGGTAAAGGTTCAGAGGATGTGTGTGTCTGTGCAAAGTCAATGCAAAAATCAAGCCCAGAGATCCGAGGGCAAACACCAAAATCAAAGCTGGGCTGAAAGACATTAAAAAGTATTTAAAGCTTAAAAAATAGCAGAGATAATGGTATACAATTTTGTAAATTTTATGTATTTTCTAAGTTCATTAAAATACAAGAATAAAAAATTGGACAGTACCAATACCAAATAAAAAAATGTATTTTCTAACTGGAAAAGTTGGGGGCTGAAATGGGGAGGGCTATTGAAAAGGAAGTTTCTGGTTTCTTTAACACTCAATTGAGTCATGTGACTTTTTCTAGAAGCTGGCTTCTGAGAGGGTTTGTGACATTGCTGAGCTCTCTCTCATGGGAGGGGCATCTCTTTGGTCAGCTGAGAACATCCATGGGTGGACTCTGAGGAGAGGAGATTATATAGAAACCCATGGACAGTGAGACATTGCTTTTTGGATCGACATCACTCGCTGATCTTTGTGCTTCGAAGAGAAAAACATTCCAGAGAACTTTCTGAGGCAGTCCCACTGAGTCTTCTGGCTTTCGCTGACTTGTCCAGCACTGCTGAATCATGCTGATTCATGTTGCTGCTTGGTGTTGGCCTTTGGAATGGATGCTGGTATCCGGGCAACAAGGAGTGGACTCACCCTAAGGAACTACTTCTAAAAAGATCTACAACCCTCTTTACCTAATAACCTTCTTTCTTCCCTACCTCTGGTCAGTTGAAAGGGAGGTAAAGATCTTTAAGGACCCTAAATAAAGTAGGTTTGGTGAAAAATCTAAGCCTGTCTAAGGCTATAGAGTATGGGAAGGACAGTCTACCCATCTTTCCTTTGCTGATGTCCTTCACAGGGGCAATGTCTGTAATGAGGATAGTGTTTTGCTAACCAAAATACAATAAACAAAAGACATTAAATTAGAAAGGGATTTTACACAGGGCTACAATTTAAATAATTATATCTCAGAGCAGCCAACTAATAGTTTCAGACTGTCCTTTGGTAGGAGGTGGGCGACAATCTACCTCTTAGAAAATAGTCATTCTCCATGTTTTTCTGTCAAATACAGAAACCATATTATTTTTAGCCACTTAAATGCTTAATACTGAGAGGAAAATCTTTAATAAATGATAGATCAGTTATAGCTCCTCTAGAAACTGCTCAGTAAAAAGTTTCTATCAGTGAAACAAGATTAACACGACCACACATTTTTCATGTAACTTTCATCTGCAAGCATAGTCTTAGGTTTGGGGGACAGGATGGATGGTAAAATTATACAGCAAAAATTATTTTTTTCTTTTCTTTAAAAAATTTTTTATTTTGTTTGTGTGCTATAGGGGGAGAGGCAGTGTGCCTGAGGGCCAGTGCATATGTGTGGAGGTCAGTCGACAACATACAGGAGTCAGTTTTCTCTTTCTACCATCCCAGGCAGGGCCACCTCAGCAGCCTGCAGTACAAACTCTTAATTCTGTTCAAGGAGATATTGGTTTAGCCCTAGAAACTATACACTAAGATGAGGTAAAATACCATGTTGTGAAAGTCTCTTTCATCAAAAATGAATCAGGCTCACAGGAGTTGGATGATAACTTCTATAATAAAAACACATTCATCAGATGAAATCTCTGGAAATGATTCACAATTGTCTCCTTTTCTTACCTTTCCTGGACAAATGTCCGCACAGACTCAAAATGCAGAAACACGGCAGAGGTCACTGTAGTGAGGAGAACTTGCAGAGAAAGGATACTGTAGACTTTTCTGAGAAAGGCTAGGAGAGAGAGAAATAGTGTGTGTGACTACTTTCCAAAACATTTGTTCCTCTGTCAAGACCAAATTTCTTAGAAACAAAACAAACAAACCAACAAAAAAACAAACAAAAAAACCCCAGCTTTTCTTGTTTGTTTGGTTAGTTGGTTGTTTGTTTTCATGGGTAAGAGGGGCACATGGCATGGTCATGTAAAGGGAAGAGAAGTTGCCAGCGTCAGACCCCTCCCACCATGTGATATCCCAGTATGGAACTCAAGTCGCCAGGCTTCCCCACCAACACGTCTACCAAATGAGCCATCATCTCACTGTCTGAAAAATCACGTTTTCACAGGCATTCTGTCTTTAACCTTACTCTAAATAATTAAACCTAGAACTAATCCTAGAGGGAGAAAAATTATTAAAATTTAAAAGGTCGATCTAACCCTCCAAAGGCCATAAACTTAAAAATTAAATTAGTGGTTTATAATAAATATTTTTTATCATAATTAAAAGAAACTATCAAATGCCTATTTGTACACTAAGCATTCAGAAAAGAAAAAACAGCAGTTTTACAAAATGGTTCTACTGTGGATATGAAAAGCAGAAATAAAATATAGCTAGATAAAAAATTTGAAAATCTTAATGTCTACACTAAAGGAAATGCTACCTCACGATGAACTCTCTTAAAGGAATATAAAGTTCTTTGCTTTGCCATTCCACAGCAAACGGGTACCTTCCTGTGCTGTTTGCTGAACAGTCAATAAGGGATAATGTCAATCAAATTGAAAATCCATTTAACTTTTATTTCTATTTGAAGGAGGAAAGGTAACCCTCAAGAGATGATGATTAAATAAACCACGGTAATATACACAATGTTTAAACAATTGTCTGACTCTTAAAGCATCCTTTATATTGTAGCAATTATGTCTGCTTTAAACATAAGAGCTCTAGGGATCACAGTGGCAAAGAGGCTTGCCTCTACACACTACCAACCAGACTATGTTTAATTCTCAGACTCTTGAGTCAAGGCTCTTTCTAAAACACCGTACTATTTTCAAACATCACATTAAACAGGCACGTTTCCCACAGGGACATTTAGTGGCTTGTTCCAATCACTGAACAGCTCCTCAGAAATTCCCTCTCCTCATGAGTTGACCCCACATGTAAAGCATAGGCTCCAAGGGAACCCCACTTCCTCTTGAAACTCCCCTAGGTTACTTCAGTTTTCAGATGGTTGGTTCCTCCCAAAGGCCACTCCAAACTTGGAGTTTGGTGCTTTAGAATTTAGTTAAACTGCCACAAAAAAAGTTTCAGGTGCCGGCCAAGTCAGTGCTTTAAGAAAAGCCATTGTGACCTGCAAAACTTCTGTTTATCTATCTTTGCATCTAATAAGATTAGCTGAAAAACTCAAATGTTTTAAGTTATACCTTAATGCCACTACCTTGCCTTACCAAGGTCTCTCCAGTCTCAGAATGACCTCCTCAGAAACTTAGTTTCCTGCAATGCCTGTCATCTTCTGTCCCTGCCCTACCCTAAAGTGATCCATTGTCTCACTTCATGGTTTCTGGGACCAGCAGGAAACTTTTAGTCTTATCGACTCCCAGTACTTGCTACATATTCCAGCTCTCTTATTTCAAACATTTTTATAAAGAGCAGCATTGTTCTGACAGCAAAGTTAAAGATACAACAAAATGACAGAGCAACATGCCTGATGAAAATAGATAACATAATCCTGAACAAAAAACTGGCAAAGCAGATTCAATGGCATATTAAATGTATTACAGAACTAAGTGGGATATACTCCTGAGATTTTAGGACCGTTCAACACATGAACATCAATCAAATGTTACACACCACATTTACAGACTGGCAGGAAATGCAGTCATTATGAACTGACCCAGAAAAATAACTGGACAAAACTATACAACAATTTATGGATTTAAAAAAGTTAACTAGGAACCAGAAGAAACTAACTCACCATGAGAAAGGACATACATGAAAAGGCCACAGTTTAATTCACGCTCTAAGTGCTGACAACAGTGACTGTCGAGTGAAAATATTCTCTCTCCCCTAAAAGGGGTATCTATTTCAATTCCTCCACCCGCCCTGCCAAGGCTCAGTAATGTCAAAGAAGAGAGGGAAAGAATATAAGAGCTAGCAAGATGGGGAGGCGTGCTAGAAAACACTTTCTCCAAGACATGGCCCAGCTGCTGCACTCATGAACTCAACAGCACCTGAACACAACCTGCACCAGATAAAGCCAGGCAAGCCGGACATGGGTGGGGCTCATGAACCTAAGGACCTTTCAAGGGGGAGTGGAATTCTCTTGGAGCCTACCCTTTACGCATGAGGTGAGCTCACAGGGAGAGAAGAAATTTTTAATGAGCTATTCGGGGCAGGGAACACAGCCAATGTCACTGGGGGAAACGTGCCTGTTTAAAGTGATGTTAGAACATAGCACGGTGTTGCAGAAAGAACCTTGATGTTAAGGGTCTGAAAACTCAGGAGCAAGGAGTAGTTGATGGCTGCTGGTGGGGAGTGGGAGACATTTTCCTTCTTGCAAGGCTGCTAGTGAGTTGCCCTGGTAGATGACCCCATTCTCATGCAAAAGTGGGTAGCGGAGTTGGACAGGATATACTGTATACATTTATGAAACTGTCAAAGAATAAATTAAAATATTGACTAAAAATGAAACTCTGCAGTTCAAAAGCAACTATTCAAATGGATTATCAGAGAACCTGCAGGCAATTGATGACTACTGGGAGAGTGCAGTGGTTTGAATAAGAACGGTCCCCATAGGTTCATATATTTAAATGCTTAGTCACCAGGGAATCACAGTATTTGAAAAGATTAGAAGGATTAGGAAGTGTGGCCTTGTTGGATGAAGTGTGTCACTGGGGGTGGGCTTTGATGTTTCAAAAGCCCATGACAGGACTGGAAATTGTCTCTGTCTTTGTCTGTGGTTCAGGATGTGGCTCTCGGCTACTGCTCCAACTCCTGCCATGAAGGTGACGTTTCCTCTTTTAAGAGTTGCCATGGTCATGGCATCTCTTCATTGCAACAGAACACTGACTAAGACAGGGAGAGTCAGTTTTCTTCAGGGATGGGCTACCCATGCTCTATGTCTGACTACTATGTAAACACAGGCAGCACTGAGGATGAGGTGGGTTATAAAAAAGGAGCGCATGAAGTTGAAAGGGCAGAACAGCGAAGGGATAACTGAAGGAGTTGGAATTGGGGGCAGTTTTGATCAAAATACACTTTACGCATGTATGAAATGTTCAGACAAAGTATTTTTAAAACGGGTAACATCAAGAGAGTAAAAGAACAAGTAACAGATTAGGAGAAAATATTTGCAACAGATAAACCTGGTAAACAAAAAAATAAAAATCTATTAAAATGGCCCAAATTCAAAACATCGACACCACCAAATTCTGGCAAGGATAAAGAACTCATTCTTTGTTGCTAGGGACCCAGGGCCACAGTCTAGTGGTTTCCTACAGAACAAAATACATTCTTGTGTATGACCCAGCTATATCACACACCTTGGTATTTAGCCAAATGAATTGAAACTATGTACACACAAAAACCTGCACATAGTTTACAAAACAGCTTTATCCATAACTGCCCAAACACAGACGCAGCCAGCCAAGAGAACGACCTTCAGCCGATAAAGAACGTAAGCTGGCATATGCAGAAAGCAAAAGATTCTTCAATAGCAAGAGCAAATGAGCTATGGAGTAGTGGAAGATGGGGGTGGGGAATCTTAAATACACACTGCAGTACCAAGTGAACAACGCAAATCCAAAGGGTGAAAGAAACCCAACATACAATCTCAACTACAAGGTATTCTGGAGTAGGCAGGAAGCGAAAGGAAGAATGATGGTCAGACAGACATACGCTATGACACTGACACGGACGCCCTCTGAAGACTTTAATAGAAACATGCTAGTCACTACAACTAAACTGTGTGATTTCTTTTTACCGAGGTATTTCTAATAGTTTCTTAAAGACTGAAAGTAGACTGGTGGTTCCCAAGGGCAGAGGAGGTAAACAATGGGGAGTTAGTTACTTAACGGATACAGTTTCACTTTTGCTTTGAACGATGCGAAAGTTCTAACAGGGAACGCAACAGTGTGACAAAGTAATACCTCACTGTACCTCAAAAGTGGCTAGGGTGGCAAAGTTTCTTCCAGGAGTACTTTGTTATATTTTAAAGGCTGAGCTCACTTGTCAAAATAATTCCAAATTCATTATAGGAATACCGTGCTAGGTAGGCGCCAAGATTCCTGATGGGTCAGAAACACCTTCAGATTTCCTTTTTTCCAGAACTGGTTTCAGCTGCCCAGGCAGGCTGAATCCGGGTGAGCTTCTGTAAAAGAGCTGACCTGTGGTGGACAACGAATTCCGCTCCCTTACACAACACCGAAGGGCTTAAATTCAAAATAATAACTTTATACGGGGTACTGCAAAATAACTTAGCGCGGTCATGACATTATGCACTGATCTGAGAAACTTCTAAATCATTACTCAAAAATATGCTAAGTTCTGGAGCCCAGAGGGGAGAAAGAAATGACTGAGATGGGCAGTTCTCAACTGCCAGAAGCTCTAGGCACAGGAAACAAAGTAAGGGCATAACCCAGTGGTTCTCAACCTTTCTAATGCTGCGACACTTCAGTACAGCTCCTTATGCTGTGGTGACCCCAACCATAAAATCTGTATTTTCCGTGTTATTTTCCATAACTTTAATCTTGCTACTGTTAGGAATCGTGATGTAGATATCTGATCCGGTGATCATCTCAGGCGACCCCCGTGAAAAGGGCGAGGGGCAACCCCGGAGGGGCTGCGACCCACAGATTGAGAACCGCTGTCGGGCACTCAGCAGGCAACTGCGTTTTGCCCCCGTCCCTTGGTAACCTACTTCCATCCTGGTCCCCCTGGCCTCCCGGCACATACCCATACGGATGTGCACGCTGGCCGACGCCACGCAGCTGCCGTAGTTGAAGTCATCCTCGATGGAGGAGCGCGGGTAGCGGGGGTCCGAGTCGGCCATGTCGCCAGCAGCACCCGTACCCGCTCCGGCCGAGGAGGGAGCCTGCACTGACCGCAACCTCCTCCTCCCACTTCCGGGACCGCTGCCAGACAGAACTAGTCGAACTGTCCTCTCCGGAGCGAGCACCGAACCAGCCGATCACGCCGTTGGAAAAATCCGTATTACGATAAGGAGGTTGCTTCCCGGTAGAAGGAGACAGATTGTTCCCCTCCCACGTCATCGGAAGGGAACATTTTCTAGGATTTTCCCCAAAAAGTTTCTCCAGGCCTCTTGAGAACCTCTCCCAGAACAAGTGCTTAAATGTAATAGGATTCATGTAGCCATTCAACAACCTCTCTTGTTTATCACTTCTACAATTCTAAGTCTAGGAATGCACTTTTGATGTAATTATTTTTAAGCAACATTTAGGCCTACATTTACAGACTTTTTGAGTGAAATAATGCTTAACCCTGAAAGACAAGTAGGAATCCACCCATGGGGCGTGATGCAGGTTTTCAAGGAATTGACGTTTGCGACTTGAGAGGGCGAAGTTCTCCTGGTGGTGTAGGTGCCAAAGAATGAGGCTGTACAGATAAACAAAGGCCAGACCACCAACGGCCAACTGAAGAATTCATGACTAAATCCAAGGGATGAATGATGAATCAGCCTCTCACAGAGAAGGTGGCAGCAATGCGCTGCGTCCGTCCTAATATTTCTGTCACCACATTACAAACACGAGGTGTACAATCACCAAAGAAATATTCCAGGACCTGTAATTTTATTTCTCTTTTAAAAAGTCTCAATATGTGCCTAGCTAGCCTAAGATTCGTTGTGTAGGCCAGGCTGGTCCTGAACTCACAGAGACCCACCTACCTCTGCCTCCTGAGTACAGGGATTAAAGGTGTGAGCCACTATTGGTATAATGTTCTTTTGAAAGGTGTGCACCTTACCCTTGTTCATTCAAATGCTGATTTCTCTCCCACACTCTCTGGTTTCAATCTGGACATTGCATTGTGATACTTATTCTGTCTCAACTTTGTGTAAACATGCCAAAATAAAACAACCAGACACAATGTTGAGCAATGGAAAGGAAGCAGGAAAAGAGGGAGGAGCCAGAGGAGAGGAAGGTGTGGGAGGCAGAGGAGGAGAGAAGAGCAGGGAGAGCAGGGCAGGAGGAGAGGTGTTGGAACGACGTGGAGAATGAACAGGACCTAAGATTTCACAAAAAGCAAGTATAATGGGTGAATTTAAATGTTAGGAAACTATGCAGGCTTAGAGGTTTAGGATGGAGTAACTATTGCCCAGCATTGTGTTCTAGGTTAACTAATAAATCCCAGTCTCTGTGTGGTGATTTGGTTATACAGCTGTTTAGGATTAACAGAAGCATTACTAAAAGTAATTTCAATAGTAAATATTAATGCCCTACATGCCACCATGACAGACTCACTTGTAATTTCTTAAAGAATTTACTTTGATGCATGGATATTCTCCTGTTTTAACCAAACCTCCTCCCCACCAAGACTAGGCAAGTGGGACTCAAAATAATTGAAGAATGGTCTATTGATAAAACTTAATATTTTCATGAAAGTTTTCTCAGAAATGTTCTATAATAACAACAGTGAAAATGCTTAGCTTTTATTAAATTTTTTTATTGATTTTCCAGTAACATGGTGGACACATGTTACTCACTTCAATAAAACCATACGAGTAATATTTATTATAGAGGACAAGCTGGAGATGAGCTGGGATCCTACATTTTTATTATCAAGACATCACCAAAATGTCATTCAGAAAAGAAATAATTCTAGCTACATTGTGCCCCATATGTGAAAGAGTTTTTATAATTTAAAATTATGTAAAATAATCACTTTATAATTTGAAGAAAAGCAAAAATTTTAAAAGCTGATAAAATATTATTTAATCTAAGAAGAATAAAAATTGAGAACACCTAGTAGTTAAGATTCTTAATAAAAGAATGAGGAGCAAGCAATAGAATGGGAAAAGTTTTCAGTATACAGATCTATATAAAGCTTCCATTCCGCACCATTAAAACAATGATCACATATCCAGACCCAACCTCTATAGCAAGCTGCTAATAGAAAAATGGGCAAGAGATTGGATCAGGTAACATGCATAGAATGAAGCCAGCTAGGTAATAAACAGATGGAAAGATGCTTACTGTCACTAGTGATCAGAAAAATGTGGCTAAATACCAAAAGGAAACATGTCTATGCACTCATCAAGTGGTTAAAACTAAGGAACTGACCATGTCAAGTGCTGAGAAGACTGAGGAGTCACCTGAGCTAAAACCAGCATGAGCTTCCAGGCATTTCCTAGGATACTGAGAAGATCATGCACACAGAAAGACTCATTTGCTTGGTTCAATGCTCAGTTGTTGCCATTCTAGAATTTTTAATAGTGTTGCCTCAGGCTTGTGTTAAAAGTGAACCCTGAAAGGACAGTGGAACATGAGAAGGACACATACTTGCGACAATGGTGTGCATGGCAGCCAAAGCTTGCATTTCAGCATTCAGGACGCCCGATGGGCAGAGAACTCGGTTGTGCCTATAACACATGGGAGTTTTAAACTAGACTCACACGTCTGTTATCTGAGTACAGGGAGAGGAAGGGAGGACAGTGGCAGGTATAGAAGCCAAGCTCTCTTTGCCAGACAGAACTTACTCTGAGTGTAGAAAGAAAGATACAATGTGAACCACCAGCTAATCTTGTTGCATCCTTTTTCCCCCACTGATGTTCCTTTGTGGGGCTAACAAAGTGCTCATACAGAAAGGGAAGACATGGAAAGAAAGGAGAAGATAGACAACTGTGGCTCCTCTTCCTTTCACTCCAGGAAACCAATCAAGTGAGAACGGAGAGAATTTACGAATAGATCTTCTCAAGTGATAATCCTGAACTTGCAACCATCCCCTTATCAAAGAGTGCACCTCTACCTCTAGGCAGCTCAAGGAGGCAGTGCAGGGTCCCAGCCAAAGTTAAGACCTGGCCTACCATAAAGCTTCTAGTTCTCTTCTTGAGAAAAGTGTAATTTTACCAAAGAAGCAAGATGACTCTGGGTAATGATAGTTTAAAAAGAACAACACTGGTGTACTTAAAATAATTCTGACAATATGTAAAATCTTAGCTGTGTACGTCTCCCATCCGGCTTAGTGGCTAGATATGCAATGTTCTGTCTCCGTTTAAATTGTTCAAGGTGTAATTAAGGGCCAGGACCTGAGAGTCAAGATGACAGCATACATGGAATATGTAAGCCTAAAGTGTATATCAATTAGCAAAAGTTTCCATTCAAGCCAGCTTCTCTTTGGGCTTTAGCCAGAGTTGGACTTGAACTATATTAAAGAGATTTTTTATTATATTAATCTCTAAGTTTACAGAGTGATTTCTCAGTGGGAGGGCATATTAATTCTAGAAGAACACAACTCGAAAACACATACTAGTTTGACATCTGCATTCAATACTAAAGGCAATAAAAATTTAAGATGCAGGTATTTTTACATTTTTAATATTTACTTCTTGCTTTCTTTTTTCTTTTCTACCCCCTTCACCTCCTTGTCCCCCTCCTTCTACAGTATCTCACTGTGTACACGTTTCTGGCTAGCCTGGAACTTATTATGTAAACCATGTTGGCTTCAGACTCATAGACCATCCACCTATCTCTGCCTTTTCAACTGCTGGTTAAAAGGCATGTGTCATCATGAACAGCTTATATATTTTTTAAATGTATGGAATTTTGTTGACAATTTGGCTTTTTTAATGGGCACAATAGTGAAAGTTTGTAAAATTGGTGGAACACTGAAAAAAGCACTTAAGCTTTTACAGTCCAAAGTAAATTCTCTAGCTGTGAATTTTCTCCAGTGTTCAATAAACATTAGAATACCCCCATACCGAAGTAGCTAAAGGATTAAATGGAACATCATATACAGCACACCAAATAAAGGCTACTTTCTTCTTCACTGGACATCACGGGATACGTAGGACTTGCTAGCTGCTGAGGAACTGGAGAGCTCATCAGAGGGAGAGAGGTAAAGACTGGCATGAAAAGAGAGAGACAACACCCCACCACCATAAGTAACTTCTGTGGGATTCCCTTCTCTGACGGAGAGCTCCCAATGATTTTAATATGCATTCATTTGGAGGTAAGAACTGGGAGAAACCTGAGCTGGAAAAGCACCATAGTTTTGTGGGTCAGTAGGCGTCCATTCTTGTCTATGAAAAGCTGATGACATTGACACTATGTGAGGGAGTTCCCCTGTGGTTGTGAGTGTATGGCAAAAATAAACAATGTATTTTCCCCCCTCTTCCCTGGAAAACAGGATTTCTGGAAAGACAGGGGTTGTCTTTTTGTTGCCTATGATGAGCTCATAGACAACAAATCAGATCGTTCTACCACAATCCAATTTGAGAGGTGAGTTGTGGTGAGTTCTTAGGCAGTTTGAAGAAACAAGTGACGCTCAGGCCTGAATGACTAAGAACATGACTAACACCCAGGAACTGTCAACCACACCCTCCTGATATTTAGTCCAATCATGTGTTCAATAACTGAATCCTGGAACTAGTCCCTGGCAAAAATATTGAGGGATGCCTGCGTGGACCTCTTCTGAGCCTATGAATCATCCTAATGAACGAGAAGAGAGTGTAGCTGTCAAGTTGATGGCCTCGCTTTCAGCCAGAACCCTGAACTCTAAGAGTGGAGAAATCCAGATGAGTACTGACATGCATGCATTAGCTCATTGCTCTCTACCCTTTCTGTTTTTAAAATAATTTTATGTGTATGAATGTTTTGCCTACATGTATGTCTAAGTACCAGGTGCATGCCTGGTGCCTATAGAAGCCAAAAGAGGCCTTCAGATCTCTTGGAACTGGAGTTAGTGAGCCATTGTAGTGAGAATTTTGGTTTCTTCAAAAACCCTGTTATGTGAATATGTTTTTGTTTTAATCCAAGGTGTGGGATATGGGGCTGCTTTAGATTGTCCACAGCTGTTAACTATAATGTGTCTCTTGCTCTGGCAGGGGCGTGATTTTGCCAGCTGAAGACAGTTTACATTTGGAATTCTGGGGACTCATAAATCAGAGCCAAAGTCTCTGCGAAGAGGTGGCTGCTGCTTCTTTTATTGTTTCTAGATTGCTGGTCGCTGGTTGGAGATATTCTGACAATGAAGATTGGACTTGACCCAAAGAACTTGATGCCCCTAATCAGCAGGAATTAATCTAAACAGGACCATCTCTCCTTTCCTCCTCTTGTAGAGGAATTTTAATTCAGAACATGGCTGCTCTGGCCAGAGATCACTTACAAAGACCTTCTAGGTCTGCATGACCTGGCTGGAATACAACATGTCTTTAATCTAGGAGACAGAGTCAATCAGATAGGAGTTCAAGGACAGAGCAAGTTTCAGGTAAAGAAAAGCTAAGGTCCAGGTGTGGCGCTACACAAGTTTAATCCCAAACAGTGGAGGTAAAGTTAGCGTGTAGAAGGAAGCACCCATGTTTGAAAGTGAAGTCTAATTGAGTGGCAGGAAACTGTCCCAGCTTTACCAGTTTTCACAGAACACTGTCTTCTGGAAAAAGAAATGAGGAGGAAGCAAAGATGTGGAATCAAAGACACTTTGTTTGAAAGGTGAAAAACATAGTATCGAATTTGTCATTTGATGGAGATGAACTGGTACAGGGAAAAACAGTTAAAATCCCAGAGATAAACATCAACAGCTGTCCACATTCCCTGCAGTTACAGGGAAAGGGACAGGATTTAGAGTGGTAGTAGATGATGAGCTGGATCGGGGTCTGGACCATTCACTTCTATAGATGCGAAAAGCGTGTATTACGTTGCGGGCAGGGAGCACTGAAAGTTTATGCGTTGTACATGTGTCCCCCAGCAGGTGGCAGTGTTAAGGGGTTACGGGCTCATGACAACACTACTTGACCTCACGAGTGGATTCTGTCATCGGAGGCGTGACTTTGAAGGGCATATCTTGTCCCCAATCTCTTTCTCCTTGCCTTGTGGTAAATTAGAAGAGCTGATGATGCAAGAAGTTCTGAGTGCTTTTGTTACTGTTATGGTGAGGATTTTAAAGTTCTCTGATGGCCCATATACTAAAAGCTTGGTTGCCAGCCTACGGCGCTGGTAGGTGACTGGACCTGGACAGGATGGGACCTGGTGGAAAGAAATCATGTCCTTGAAGGGAATTTTGGCACCCTGGCCCCTCCCCCTCACATTCTCTCTCTCTCCCTCTGCTTTCCAGCTGCCACTAGGCAAAAAAAAAAAAAAAAAAAAAAAAAAAAAAACCCTTCTTTTTGTAGCACATACTTCCACCATGACGCTTTGACTTCCCACAGACCCCCAAGACACTGAGGTCGAACAACCATGGTCTGAATCCCTGAGGTGTGAGCCAAACAACGCCTTCTTCCTTTTAAGTCGCTCTGTTGGGCATTTTGTCGGAAGGCTAACGCAAGTCCGCAGGGTGACTTCCTGTCCAGGCGCGTGTCTCAGACTGCTTTCTCTGCTCTGGAATGGCAAAGCGTACCCTGTGCAGTCCTTGATCTTCCCTTCCATCTCTTGCTCAGCATAGTGGCATAAAGACCTTTTTTTTTTTCTAGTGTGTAGTCTGATAAAACTTCAGGATTAGAATGAAGGGACTTCGGAAATTTCGCTCAAACTGTCCCAGCTTTACCAGTTTTCACAGAACGCTGTCTTCTGGAATTCACAGAGGGCACCGTGTGCCCAGGCACCGTTGCTGCTGGTCTCCAGGGGGAGTTATTCCCAAAGAGTGAGGTCTGAGAGGTTTGGAGCAGCAGCTTGTTTTCAGAGGACGGTCCCGGTCCCGTACCATCTCCCAGTTCACACCTGACATCTCCCCACCTCCTTTGAAGAAGCTCATCTGTCGGTAGCATCCGTCCGGCTCCTGCGGTGGACCATTACAGCATACACGGCCGGCTGTTTCAATCCAGCAGCCAGTGTTACTTAAACTCCGTGCGGCAAGCTCGTTGAAGCCCTTTGAGGAAGGAAAAGGAGAGAGTAGTTAAGCCCAGTGGCAAAGTGGCAGGGGCTGCCTCCTGCTGCGAGGACGAGCAGTTTTTGCCCTGGTTTGGCCTGTTTGTTGCGGTTTTCTTTTACACCCATTTCTCCCCGACGTGTACACGTTTTCTTCCGTTTAAATGTATTTGGCGAAACGGGAGAGAAAAAATATATTCCCCAATGAGTACGTCTTTCCTGACAGGTCAAAGAAACTTTAAAAGGTGAAAGAGAGACCTCAGATCCATCCTGGCCAGGAGGCCGCCCATCCCAGGGCAGCAGATGGGTGTCGGCTTTCCCGGATTCCAGCCGCGGTCTCCCGCCCTCATTCTCTTGGCGGGTCACTTGGGTTCCGTCCCAAGCCCGAGGACTGACAAAACCGTTCAAAACAGAGGGACAGGGGTCGGGGGTTAGGGTTGGGGGACCCGGGGCTGGCGAGCAGAGTCGGGGCCAGGGCAGGGGCAGGCCAGGTCTCGCAGGAGCATCCCTGGGGAGCGGCCCCCCTCTGAGTCACGTGGGGCCCGCCCTGTTACGGCCCAGGGCGCGGCGTGTTGCAAGCTCCCTGCAGCCGTCCTGGAGCTGGGTTTCCGCGGTTGTGTAAGGCGGTGGCAGCGGCCACATCCCCCGCTTCGCCGCGTGGGGTTCGGGGCTCGGCCGGGGCTCGGCGATGGCCGGCCTGTGCGGGGACCGTGGCGCGCTGTCGGCGCACACGCTGCTCTTCGACCTGCCGCCCACGCTGCTGGGCGAGCTGTGCGGGATCCTGGACAGCTGCGATGGCCCGCTGGGCTGGCGTGGCCTGGGTGAGTGTGTCTCACATCTTCCGGTCCCTGACCTCTCTGACAGTCCGGCGCTGCCTCTATCAAGTTAGGGGATTGGGAAAGTCAGGGATGGAAAAAGCATCTGGTGCTGGTAAAAGATTGTCGCTGCACTGGGTTTTCGGTGTGCAAATAAATAGGCAAATACTATCTAATGCGAAGGATGTCTGCAAAATCCCTCCAGACTGTTTTAATAGTGAGACGTTTCTAGAAGATTAGAGTTGTCGCTCAGTTGCTCGGAGTGCTTACCTACGCGTATACGAAGCTGCAGGTTCGATTCCCTAGCTCCTCCGATTCCTTAGCGTGGAATAAAGCAGACCGTAGTGGTGCCTGCCATTGAGAGGTAGGTAGGAGAATCAGATGTTCAAGGCCATCCTCGCCCATGTAGTTAGTTCCAGGACAAGAGAAGCTGCCTCAAAAGCAAACAAAAATAAAATAAAATAAAATAACATAAAATAAAATAAAATAAAATAAAATAAAATAAATGTATATATTTACTTATTCATTTTAGAATGTTAAGGTATCTATTTTTTGGTGTGTGTGTGTGTGTGTGTGTGTGTGTGTGTGTGTGTGTGTGTGTCTGTGTATACGTCATTGAAGTACATACACTTCTATGGCATCCAGAAGACAACTTTGAGGAATCAGTCCTCTCCTTCCACCAAGGGAAAGACAGAAGTCAGATTGTCAGACAGACATGCATAGCTTTCTACAGGGAAAATACTATGCTTTGCCCTGGGTGTGACTTCTTAATTAACTATGTCTTGCTTGTTTACCAAATCCAGTGTAAGGAAATTGTCAAGAGAGACTCTTTATATTAATCTAGAAAGTTATCTTTATTAGGTGGATATGGAGAGAGAGAGAGAGAGAGAGAGAAGGGAGAATAGGACATGATGGGGGTTTATTAGGTGGATATGGAGAGAGAGAGAGAGAAGGGAGAATAGGACATGATGGGGGAAAGAAAGAGAGAGGGGGCACGCTGATAGAGGAAGGACCAAGAGAGCAAGAGCTAGAAAGTTATCTTTAAAAATCCATTTTCTGCAGGCTTTTGTAAATTGAGCAACTGCATGTTGGAAGCAGTGATATAATAACAAAAACAAAACAAACAAACAAAAAAAACTCAGACAAAAGTTTATGCTTTGTTGAGGACAAGTGTTCTCTTTGGGGTTAGATGATACCTCATGCAGTCACAGTTACTGTTAATTGAAAATAAACGTGAGTATTTTAGAACAGCTATATCTGAAATAGTGATTTTTTTTCTCTTACCAAGAATAGCAGCCCTATGAGCAGAACATTGTTTTGTGAATGATTAACAATACACCCACAATATCTGAAGCTGTTAATAGTTTTGTAAAAATTGTTTTGGAGAGTGGGCTAGGAATAATTGTTCAGTAGTAGACTTTCTTAGCATGAGGAAAGTCCTTGGTTCCATCCCCAGTAACTAAATAATTTATCCCATGATTTTAAACTATATTTTAAAAATATGATCCTTTGGCAAACATCTCCAAAAAGGATACTCAAGTCTGACATCTGGAAAACAAAGCTATTTCCAGCCTACCTTTGAGAGATAAGATTACTCCCCTCCTCCAGCCATCAGATTTTTTTCTCTATTTGAGCTAGATCATGGTTTAGGCAATATTCGTGTCTATAGATTTCCTAGAATTACTGCATTTAAAAAAAAAAGTATTTTTGGTCCAAGGCACAGGTACAGATGGGGCCAGAAGAACACAGGAGCAGTTAATACTCAGGCCCTGGTCCCTGCTGCTTTTCAGGAAGCACAGCTTTGTTAACTAGCTTCTTCTCTCTCTCCTCCCTGTCTTTCTCCATGGCTCTAAACTCCAAATAGTTATGCTTTATAACTCCCTGCACTCACTTGTAAGTCAGTTGCCATCATAATTGCAAGTGATTCTACAGATAAGGACACTGGGTTACAAATTGTTAGATAACTTGCCCTTGTTCCTACAGTCAGAAGTAGCAAAGCCAGGACTTGAACTAGGGAAGTCTGTATCTAAGGCTCATCATGCTCTTAACTACAAGCCACACTGCACACCTCCCCTTTCTGCCATACTCTTTTCTTGTGTATCTAACAGGCCCCTACAACTGTAGCATTTCTGGCTTGGGAAAAAATAAATTCAGCGCTGTTTACACACACAGCTCTATTTTACCCTTAAAGAAATAAATGAAGATGATCAACATAACTACAAGCCAGGTATATCTAGGCAGAAGAATGAGGTCTCTGCAAGTAGGTACATTTAGTTGAGACTTAAGGTGGGAAGATTTTAAATTGGGAGATAAAAATAGAGGCTTTGGGTTATGTCTGATGGTATGCTGTTGGCACTGGAAAGGTAGCAGGCAGAGTAACCAGAATTGAGGCATCTCATGTGATTGTTTAGGGGTACGTATTTGACTCTCTCCAGTTGGGGGAGCAAAAATTTAGGCAGATATTGGTTCCTAATCAAGTTTTGGCTGTGTAGGGCAGAGGGCCGCAGGCTTCCTGGACTCACTGCCACGGGTAGTTTTGGAATGCTTACTGGAGATGGCAGGTTGGCTTCTTGGGCTTGAATTGATGCATGCTGTGGACCAAACTTTTATCCCTCTGTGGAGAATGGACGTATGCCTTTGAGTATTGATTCTCCTGGGGGAGGGTCTCCAATTTTTACTCCTGATGTCACTGCCCTGCAGGGAGTGGTGCTCTGGCCACCTCACATGCCTTGTTCTCCTCCTGGTCCAGCGAGGAGATGCTAGGGGGATGCTAGGTTTTTGAGACGACAAGGGAAAATGATGGAGGACTGAACCATGAGGCTGTACTGAGCTCTGAAGGAGTAGCTGAGCAAATGCTTGGAATATAGGACACCCTTAGCTTGATCCCCTAGTACATGTGCATGTCAGTATGCGCGCGCGTGTGCACACACACACACACACACACACACACACATACACACATACACACACAGGTGGGCTGTCCTTTTATGCACAGAGCAAGTGAGAACCTGAAGATACAGAGGGCCCCCAATTTTATATGGGAAAAAATTATACTAGCGATAGGTGAAACTGTCCTAGACTGATCATGATTCCTGATGACAGTGGCTACTGGGCTGTATTACCAAGGACAGTTCAGATACAGGCAGAGGTTGCATGGCTGCCTTTGTGATGGGTGAGTGTGTGGGGGATCTAGCTCACACGCTAGAATCATCCATGCAAGACTTGGAGCACCCAAAGGCTTAGGTCTCTCCCCTGGAGCAGCTGATTCATACGCTTGGGCAGAAAGCCTATCCCACAGCTGTAAGCACAGTCTGCTTTGAGAACCAGTGCATGGGCCAGATTCCTCCAGCTCTTCAGTTAAGCTTTCTTAGCAAAGCTAGTGTAATTTCAAGGCAATACTTGGTTGACAGTGATGGCTGCTTGCTTTTTAGACATAATGACATCATAACGGGCATACAGAACCTCTGGTGAGCACTCATTTATGACACTGACGTAGACTGCTATTTAAAGTAAATCATTCGGGATCGGTTCACAATGGAAAAGCTCTCAACACTTAAGATATACTGGCGAAACTTGTGTTGCTATTGTGTTACAGTGTCTATGCAACAGACCGCTTCCATTCTCTTTCTCTTTTCAAATGAAATGAGGGGTGGGGGGGATGTTTTAGTGGTTGAGAGTATATACTGCTCTTTCGTAGGACCCAGGTTCTGTTCCCAGTACCCAGGTCTGGCAGCTCACAACCACCTGTACCGACCTGAAGTCCCTTGCCTCTGTTCTCCTTGAGCACCTGCACTCACATGTCCATACTCCCCAACACATAATTAAAATCATTTAAAAAGCAAACAAATTATGCAAATCACTAGTAATTTTAAATAAGTAAATCTAATAGCATAGTAATCGTGCATTTGAATATCTAACAAAGGTCTGCAGTCAGAACAGGGATGCTAACAGCTGCCATTTAAAAATATTTGCTGTTGCCCGGCTCTGTAAAAATATTTGCTGTTGCCCGGCTCTGTACTTTACGTACACTGTCTCAGGTACCTGCTGTGAAACTGTAGACCCTGTTCCTGCTTCCATTTTATTGACAGAAAAATGAACTGCTAGGGAATTTAAGCTAGGGAGTTTAAGTTAACTTAACGAACAGCAGACTAAGACTCTAATGAGACGGTCACACTTCTGAGCTTATCTTTTCTTCTCCTTGTATTTTCAAAAGTTTCACCTTTAAAAACAACTTTCTGTTTAGAGTGGGAGTGTAGAAGATGATCAAGAGCTCCCCGCTCTACTCTGCATGTAAGTTTTACCCGTGCAAGCTGGACCCGGAGTCTGCTCTCCTCAACATTTCACGTTCGCGCAAGGCATGTGTTACAGTGCTGACACCCAGCTACTCCACTGGAGTTTATATTTTAGTCGCACTTCCCTCATTTTCCCCCAGCCTCCCAAGGTCTCTGTTTTGGATTCTATCCAACCTCACATGCTGAGTTACCATGTCACGTTCAGTTCCACCCGCTCTCCATCTCCTTTGGACTGCGGCATCTCAGGCTTGGTTTTGATGACCCTGACAGTTTTGAGGAGCACTTATCGCTCCTCAGTTGAGATTGATCTGACACATTTCTCGTTGTTAGAGTGAGGTTACGATTCTGGGGAAGAAAATCACAGAGGTAAAGGGCCATTTTCACCACAGCCTAACAAATGCCTATGCTTTTAGTGTGAATTACCTGTTGACCTTTACCATGACTAAGCTAGTATCTGTGGGGTACCCATTGTCCTCTTTCCACAGTGTTCTCTTCAGAAGGAGGCACTGTGCGTATCCTGCACTTCAGGAGCAGCCAATAAGCTTTCCCTCCGGAAGACAGAATCCAGCATCACACTGACCATTGTGTCATTTCTCCCATCTTACAAGTCTTTCTTTACATCTTACTTCAGCTCTAAGCTACCAACCCATTCATCTCTTCTCCCCAAAAGGGCTTGAGCCTTCTCCATTTGGCTTTCAACCCCTCCCTGGTCCT